CAGCATAATTACTAATTATTCTACTTAATGGAGGGAAGGCTGTGAAACTCAAGTTGGACAAATTCAATCTTGAAATGAGATGCAAGATACCAACAAGGATAATTATCAACTAGACAGTGAAAAATGGAGGTGAATAGACTGAATGTTGCTGGTATTGCCCCCAGGATTTCTTTTACCAGAGACCCCCAAAGACTGACATAGTCCCTTGTCCAATTTGGCATCAAGTGAACTTTTAATAGTAACCTCTAGACTTATTACAAGTTTTCTCCTTATAATACAACCTGGCACACGGTTCCATAAACATTACAGCAGTGACATTTCGTGGTACCAGCCTCAGATCCTCTGCTGAGTGTGTTGGATGTTAGTTTTTGGATTCCTTGCTACTCAAAGCAAGAAGTCCAAGGTTGCTCCTGTCTCCTCAGGGTTGCAACACAAACACACAATGTCTGTTTGTCCACTATTTTTGTAACTTTCTCATCTCAGACTGTCCAATCTTTAAGTTTCTTACCTCATCTTTTTAGATAAGGTCCTCCAACCCTATTCCATTTTCAGTTTCCTCTCCTTTTAGGGAAACTACTGTACCTGGTTAGCCCACCATACCAATCAAAGACTCACTTTTCCCAGTGCCTTATAAGGCACTCTGTACAATTTAATTGCTTAGTTCCGGGAAGGCCTAAAGTTAGAGCCTAAGCATAACTCAGTCTGCCTGCTACATCTGGGAGCCTATGGAGTTTTTGAGACAATATCTCTCTAAAAGTCAGACTACAATCCAGCCTCTGGGAAAAATCCTATATCATGTATAAACAGAAATACTCCTTTCTGGCCTTAGAAGAGATGTTGAAGAGCCGTAAGAAAGGAATATTAGCCCAGAAGAAAACTGGCTAGCATATTTATTTTAGAAAGTATCACAGGGCATTCACTAATTTTCCTGTTGTGTTGGTTGTACTAAAATAACCTAGAAAAAATATTCATCCCAGAGTTTATTTTATTTGCCTCTTCTTAATTTTTGGTTTAGGAAAGTTGTGTAAGAAAACACATGTGCAGTATAATGTTGGATGTGGTCCATAACATGAGATCCCTCCTGAGCATGTGCACACTGATGAGAGGTGGGAAGGTTCTAGAATAACTGGACTGTCCATCTTGATGCAGTAGGTTGTGTGGTCCAGTCGAGTGCTGTGTTCTACACCTGAGTGCCGAGAGCACAATAGTAGGGTGTTGTGTGCACGTGAGTATGATTGGTGAGAAGAATAACTGACACCTGGTGTGATTTTTGGTGAGTATTTATGGAATCCTGAGGCATGATTTGGCGCACAAATGGAATATGGTTGCTTGACAGTACTTGAAGTTTGAACAGTGTGTGAGCTTACTTGGTTGGTAATCATACCTGTGTGTCTGAGGCATACGAGCTGTGACTGTAGCAGTGAGAGAGAGAGGAGTGATCTATCCGATTGGATTATAATTGGATACTTACCTGTAAAAACGTTATTGGATCAGGACCTCAATCATGCATTGGACCGCTAATTATCACCCCTCCCTCCCTCTCAGTCTGAGACCCTCTGAGGGAAAAGACTGAGGGCCTGACTGTCACTCCAGTTCAGTGAGCCTGTGAAGGCCCTGACGCTGCCCTTTATGGCCCCTTGGCAGGTTTTTTTATGGTGCGTGGCAGTTAACCAGTGTATATAGTTAATGCTTGATATTATGTATGTTTTCTATTGTTAGTCTTGTATTTGTATGATTGTGAGTTTATACCATACTTCTGAACTTTATTTGGAGCCTCTGTGTATTTATAAGGCACATGATGGTGGGCTGTACCTCTATGTATATCCCTGACCCCCAAATCCACCTCTAACAGAGATAACACATGAAAGACCCTGGCTCTCTGAGGAGGTCTAACTCTCTGCCCCTTAGATTTCTCATAGGTGGTCAGTGTCCAGGACACACGGTGGTGTCTGCCTTTCAATTACAGAAAGCTGTCATGTCCTGGTAGACTAGTTCCCCACACATATATCTTTTTGAACAGGATCTGAGGTCTTCATACCTTTGTTTGTATGTGTTCGCCCACTTTCTCTCCTTTATGCTTTCACACACATGCGCACACCAATACTCATGTGCTTTACATCCCTCTGCCCAGAACTGCCAGAGACAGCTTGTCTTATGAAATCAGGAGAGAACAGAGAACAAATCACTCCAGAGTTCCCTTCTGACCACTGCTCCACTGTACAACATGAGTACTGCTTTGCAGTTATATACATTTTGTATCCATTGTTCATTGTATTAATTTATATTTCAGTAAGCATCTTAAATTACGCTTCACAACTGCTTGGAGAGGCTTGTATGTCCTGTGATCCCCATTTCACAAAATAGGAACATTGAGACTCAGGAAGGTTAATATTGTCAAACTTGGGTGACTAAATTTTGGTATCTAAATTTATGTTTAGATCCCTAGAGAAGCATTCTGATTTCCCATGGTGCTGAAACACCCCTCCATGGCCACTGACTTGAACAAATATGGATGTATGTGCATAACTTTTAAGAGGGCCTGGTATGACAATGTTAATCATATGTTCAAGGCCTGGGAGGCCAGAGCTTGGATAAGAAAGCTTCCTGACTCCAATCCCATTAGTAGTTTGTCTCCCATGTGGGTCATAAGATGGTATATCTTTTTCTTCTTCTCTGATGTCTAATTGTGTCTGACTTCTTCTTCTGTGTTGTGTTTACTGTTGTGTGTGTAACTAAAATAATCTCTTCTTCTTTTTCTTCTTCTATGACTGTTTGAGTTCTGTGTTATGTTTAATAATCTGGATGTCTGACTTTTTCTGTGTTGTCTTTAGTCTGTATGTAACTATAACTAACAATAACTATATATACTCTCTTCCTCTTCTTCTTCTATGACTGTCTCACTTCTTCTGTGTTGTAACACTATTTGACTTCTTTTTCTATGATGCATGTGTGTGAGTGTGTGTAATGTATATGCTTCTCTACACAGTGCTGGATCATGTTGCCAGGAAAAACACAGCTTTCTTTTTAAAAAAGTGTTGGGAAAAAACTACCACAAGAACAAATATAAATTGAAAGAAATGGATTGGATAGGGATAAGTAGAGGGATTCCTGTTGCTCAGGAAGATACAGCTCACAAAAGGCACAGAAAACCTGCAGACAGAAGCTTATATTCTGTTTCTATGTCTCTCCTCCAGAACACTGTGACTGGAAGGGGACTCAGGGAAAGATCACAGTCAGCTAGAGGCAGGGCAGCTAGAGATGTCAGTCTTTCCCCCCCTCTTCTCAGTTTCTGTTCCCCTGAAAGACTGCCTTCTGAATCTCCAAATCTTGTTCCAATCTTTTCTGAATCGATTCAAAGATTTTTTCCTTCTCCTGATTTGATTCAGATTCAGTGATTTGGCCTTGAATTGTGCTGAATCTTCTCTGAATTGAATCATGAACCAAAGCTTCGCACATCCCTAATGACCAGGTCTTATGCAGTCACACACTTTAGTAAGGAATAAGAAGCTCTTCAAATTGTTGTATGGCCTGTATCAGGGTTCCCCAGAATTATAAACCTTGCACTTGGAGGAATAAAGTGGAGGATACAGAATTGCTTCTCATCCAACAGTAGCTTACAAAACAAGGGAGAGGGGGGATAAAGTAAACAGAGCCATGGCTCAGCTTCCATTACATACCAGCCCTCAGACCAGGGGTGGGCAAAATACGTCCCAAGGGGCAGATCCAGCCCACCAACTGACTGGATCAAGCCCATGGATGGGCTCCTGCCAATTGATTGGATTTGGCCCACAGTACTCTGCATGGGGCCAAGCCCCAGATGCTCCTACCTGGGGCAGCCTGTACTGTGCTCCCACCCATGTCTGCCAGGTGATCCCATCTGTAGCCAGCATGCACAGCTTCCTGGTGGGGCTGCTCCCAGTGCAGCTGCAGCTATCTGGGTACTGCTTGTCTCCCCCTGTCCCCAGCAGCTCCTCCTTCTCCTGCCTCTGCCCGTGTTGCACCGCTCTGGGCTGAGAGAATCTGCAGCCAGATGTCTCCTGCTCCAGTGCTTGGGGCTCCAGCTCTAGCTCCAGCTCCCAGCCACCTTCCGTCCACTTGGCCAGGCTGTTCATGGCACCAGGTGGGTGGAATGTCTGTGTGGAAGATGGCTGGAAGATGCCTGGCTGCAGCTTCACCCCCATCCAGAGAAGTGCAGTGGGGGCAGGAGGAGGAGGAGATGCTGGAGGGGGAGCTGAGTAGTTCCTGGGTGGCTGCAGCCACACTGGGAGCAGCCATGCTGGGAAGCTGTGCACGCTGGCCAGGGCTAGGGCTGGCGGGTGCAGGTGGGAGCATGACACAGGCTGCCATGGGTAGGAGTGGGCAGGGCTTGGCCCCATGTGAAGCACTGTGGGAACAGTTGCAGGCTGGATGGGGTGGGGGTACAGACAGCACCAGGGGACTGCACTGTTTGGGCGAGCTCTGCTGCACACATTCCCTGCCTCCACCCTGTCCCTCCCTCCCCCCACTGCTGGCCAGCTCCCAGGACCTAGGGCATGGGCAGCTCCCCCCACACATACGCTCCCCTGCCCCACACACACACATCAGAGTCCCCCATGCCAACACATACACTATAACCCCATACCTGCCCCACACACACAGCCCAACCTCCCCGCACAGATCTCCCCAGCCCCTCCACACACCCTACACACCCACAATATACAAAAAGACTTTAGTTTGAGCTATTATACAATTACCTCTATATACACTACTCAAAAAACATAAATCAGGACAAACATTATTTTTTGAAATCAAATTAAGATACGTTATAGTAGATGTTTGATTTTTAGTATAAGATTTGTTTTTATTTATAATTTGTTAAAATGGTATCTTCTAAACGATTTTGTGTGTGCACCCCGTGACAGCTCACCAAAACTTGTTAAGTGGCCTTCCAGCTGAAATAATTGCCCACCCCTGCCTCAGACCTTTCTGGACATGTAAGGGCAGAGGTGGAACAACTACTGTGTTTCGGGGACAGCAACGGGGGTCAGGACAGGTGCGGCAGCTGTCATTCTTATGCCCCCTCTAAGCAGGCATCTGGGGCTGGCTCTTCTCTACAACTGAGGAGCTCTAGGAGACATTGTGTTTCCCAATGTACTGCTGAGGTAGCATGGCTCTGCATCTGCAGCATCGGTCTGTGGCAGAATGTCACAATTTAGCACTGAAATCATGTTTAGTTGATAACACTAAGTGGGCGCTCAGTACCTCTGAAGAGGCCAATTTTAGTTAGATTGTTCAGTCAAGGTTCAGATGCCTAACCTTAGGAAGCCAAATGTAAAAATTCAGACCTTACACTTGCTGTACATTTTCAGATTCATCTCTGTTTTGCTATCTAAAAATGGGGCCGATAGTATCCACTTACCACACTGTGTGTGTGGGCAAAGATAGTGAGGTTTGTTTAAGGTTTACACAGCACACTGACAATGTGATGACAACAGCTTTTTGCATTTCTATAGTGCCTTCTGTCTCATCTCATTGCCTCTGCCCCCTGCTCCTCATAAGTATTTTTATGAACACTAAAGGTTATCTCTGGAAATACCCGGAGTGGGGAGATGATCCATCAGGGAGATCATACCAACCCCCTCTTCGTACTGGGGGTAAAATCATAAGGGACTTCTGCTAATTCTTGAAAGGATTTTGTTACATAATTCTACCTCAAATTAGATATTTGCCTGAAAGTTCACACAGAGTAAGAGGATGCCCACCCCTGTGAAATCACTGAGGTGGCAAATATGGGAACATTAATTTCAGGTGCACAGGTATTTTGTGAGCTTCATATAAGGAAAAACGCTAGTAGATTTGAGACTGATCCCCATGGCCCCTTCTCAGAGCTCCGAGCGGAAATTCAGAGAGGTTCCAGCCATCTTCTTCTTATAATCTTGGTCAAATTTCTCATTCTGTGCCACAGTGAAATGGTTTTTCCAATCCCCAACAGCCCCTATAGCACAGCAAAGCCAGAAAAAAATTAAATCACAATTAAGAAGAATTCTTCCCTTCAGCCCAGGCCCTGGAAACTATTGCTAGTAGCTCAGAAGACATGAACTATTCAAGTGAAGGGTTAATGCAAAATAAACCTAGAGACTAGAAAATAGAATACTAAATAATATGGAGTAAAACCTTTTCTCATGAATGGGGAGATTGAATGATTCATTATTCCCTCAAATTCTTTGGTGTAGTTTGCCATGGGATTGTTCTTCATGTTCTCAAATGCCGTATATTTGACAATCTTATCCAGGACCTCCTTTTTGAGGTCCTTCTCTAAGAAACGCACCACCTTTTGGATTTCATGCTTTGGATTCTGTGGAGAGAGTGAGGTAGAATAAGAAACAGAATCAGGAAGAGAAAATAAAATCAGCTATAAGGAAAATCTGGGAGGAAGTTTAAAATGCATGTTTGTAACTCTCACTAGGATAGGGAAGATCAGATCTGGCCTTAACAGAACATGGCTGGGAGAAGCTAAGGCCTTTTGGGATCTTGGCTGACAATAATGGAGCAGTACAAACATGAAACAGCCACTCACCTCCTTCATGTCTTCGTAGAACAGGTAGAGAATACGGTGTTTATCTTTTGCTTCCCACCATCCTTTTACATGGTCATACCAGGAACCCCAAAGCACTGAAAGAGAAAGAAGTAAGTCATCAGCTAGAAGGTCCTGATCAATCTAGATATCTCATGCATGTATATTTCTCATATAACCAGTGCATTTGAGCACTTTTCACTTTCCACCATATTTCTCTTTGCTATACCTATGTGATGAAAGGGTATTTCACAGGTGGGGAACAGAATCATAGAGAGACTAAGGCCTCATCTACACATTACACTTAGGATGTGATTAACCAGGTAATTATGTTGCAACTCAGCCACACATTCAGTCAATACATGGTGTGATAAAAAAGCAATAAGCCACAAAAATATGCAATAACTTTGTGACTTGTTCTTATCGCACCATTTTTTGAATGTGTGGCCAGCTGGTTCCCTGTGGCTGGGAGTCCCAACAACTGAGGGGCTCCCAGCTATAAGGGTGCATCACCCACTGCCAGCTGTGGGGCTTGCAGCAGTAAGAGCTGGTGCAGGGGTGGCCGGGGATGGTGTGATTTGCAATAGGATGTGGTTGGATCTGATGCTGGATCCCACAATCACACCTCCTGCCATGCACATGTGGCATGGCAAGAGGTGGGATTGTGTGGATCATGCATCAGATCCTACCATGTCTTTATCTGAACATCTAGAGGGGGCCCTAAGACCCACATCCACAAAGGGACAAAGGCATGGGAATGCTGAACATGGCTACACTGAGCTTTTAGATGTCCAATGGAATTCACAGACCTCAGTTAAGAACCTATGTTTCATACAGAGCTTGGGGAGAGAAATGGGATTAAAAACAGCCAGCCTGTTGAGTAGGGGGATACCTAAGCAGTAGGAAATAATGCAGAGTGGGGTGTGTTTGAAATGTCATCTTTCCCAGGACTCAGAGCTGCAGAGAGGTGTCAGTGCAAGACTGGGACTCATAGTTTGAAACTTTCTACTGTACTTAGGCATATAAATTCTGAAAACGGGCTTGCTCTTTCCTTCTAACAATGCGGGAACAGCTGCTGGAGCTCCCCACCTCTTATGTAATAGCTTACTCAACAGAAAAGCAAAGCAAGAAAGAAGGAAGCAGCGCTGTAAATTTGGATTCCAACTTGGACAACACATGGATCTGTGAAATTGTAATAAACTGTGTCACTCTCAGATGGTGCTTGTCAGCCACAAGCAGGTTCATCAGGCACCTGGCTAGACCTCTTATGCATACACCATGATTCAGAGGTTTGATGGCTGCATATAGTAACTCAACAGAACACTGT